AGAGAGATTGAAATTGAGTTGAAGTTGGAGGAGTTTTGTGTGAATATTTTTGGGAGTGTTTTCCTTGGCAGGAATTATGACTACATGAGGGAGTTTTCCTCCCAATTTGGATGGTTAAAGGGAGAAGTAAAATTATAGTTAAAGTAGAGTTTTAGTATGCACATTAGTTGTTTGATAAAATGCCTAAGTGAAAACCTGGTAACTACCCTGTCACAGCCGTGACATTCTAAGTGATTTTTGGGCATCTTACGGATTGAACTGGGTTGAGACCAAAACATCAAAGTTATAGCCCTGTCTCTAAGCTTTAAAACGAGACCAAAATCGTACCAATCCGATGTGTATAACGCAAGTTATACCTTTTTTAGTGTGGCCTTTGCAGAATGACTATCTTGGTGTAACATTGCATTTGTGCATTTCATGAGTGCATTAAGGAGCATGAATCATCCATATGCATTAATTATGCATTAGAGAAAGAGTAGAGAAAGAGTAGAGAAAGAGTAGAAAAAGAGTAGAGAACTTTGAGTGTGAGCTTTATTAAGAGAAAAGAGAGAAAAAGAGGATAGAGTAGGTTGTGCGATGGAGAACCCGTGTGTAATGGGTAGAGTATTCCCGCATGTACGCCGCATTGAGAGAGCGGCATGAGTATGAGAGAGAGAGGTGGTGTAGCTCGTGAGAGTGCATGCGGATGAGGGCTATACCCGAGAGTACCCGAGAGAGAGATTATACACTCACATGGCCAAGGGTTCCGAATCCATGCATAACCGAGTCTGATCAGCTGAGAACGAGTAGAAGTCACGGAGAGTGGGAGCGAGTCCCGGCTGTGCCCCCGGTAAGATGGGGCCGTGACTTACTAAAGAGAGTTAGTAGAAAAGAGTTTTAAGAAAGAGAAACAAAGAGAAAGAGAAACGGAAAGAGAAAACAGAGAGAAGTCCAAAAGAGAGAGTAAATGAGAAATTGTAAGGAAAGACTTAGAGAGAGAGAATTACGGGGATAGATGACTAGAGGGTTTACTTACTGAGCATTATTTGTGCTCACCCCATTGTCTTTCTATGTTTTTGCAGGATTTAGGTGAGGACACGGTCGGGTGGACGTCGGCATGCGAGGATGAATGGCTACACTGTCTACATGGTTTTTGATAGTTTTTGTTTATAATACTAATTTTGTATAAAGAATGTATATATTTAATAAAAGAAAAATTTGGGCCCAACTATTTATGTTATTATACATGTATTTTATTATATATATTTTTATGAGTATTTGAGTAGGAAGTAGCTATTACAGTGTTTTTGTGATTGGTTTGATCTTGATTCTTTGGTGTGTGTTATCTGTTGTTTTGTGCGTGTGATTAGCAGTGAATCGATTGTGGATTTACATAACACTATCTCTTGTCCAAATTCTCAAATTCAGCAAATATAGTAACTTCCTCTTTCTCTTACTAAAATTTGCAACCAAATATCTAAACAAACTATGAAGTTGACCAAATTTTTCTTCAAAAAGATATGAATCACCATATTTATTAGTGATTCTACTAAAGCTTAAACGTATTTGAAACTTGGAGTAGTATTTTTTGAAGGAATATCCTTTATCTTGTTGCAGAAATATATTGCATTAGAATTGGATCATGTATTAAATAATGTGAGCTTAAATAATTAAAGAAGAGGTAGTTGTGCATAGAGTCTGTTATCATAAAATAAAAAATATATATACATTACATATTGCATTGAAACATGAATCAAATAACGTGAGCTGAAACAATTATCGAAGAGGCAGCAACGCAAAATTTTGAAGGCAATACATTTATTATTTTTATTACTGATTCTACTCATGAAGCTTAAACATATTTGAAACGTGGAGTGATGAAGGGTAACGTGCGAAATCAAAACCAGGTTTAATTTTTAAATAGTATTTTTGAAGGAATATCCATTATCTTCAAAGCCTGTTATAGAAAACTGAAACAAATACGTGATTTCTTATAATTTTGTCCCAAACGTGGATGATATACCGCATTCACAAAGTCTCCCTCTCAAAAGCATCACTTTAAATCTTTAATAATGCAGATTGTTGATGCGATTTTTTACACTAACTAGAAATACGTAGGATCCATGGTGGAATCTATATAGGAGTTTATATTAAACCCATGATTCTGATGCTGGATCAATGAACGAAATAAAAACACAACAATAACACAAGAGAGATTTTTAAAGTGGTTTGCATATTTGATGCAAATCTTACGTCTACTGTTTTTTGTATTGTTTTCGTGTATTTTTCTCTGTATACAAGTGCGGTTTGCGCAAGTTATGAACGAGCCTCTTTCAATTAGGGTAAAAAGTAGACTTATATAGTGTTTTAATAGTAGACTTACACATGAAATAATCCTTACATAGAGTGATATGCGGTCTGACTGACAGCATAACCTTAAGACTTACCAATGAAATAATCCTTGGTAATGTTTTAAAAACTGGACCACTCCTTGACCCAATCAAGGGGCCAGTTCCCAGGCTGACCGGTGTACAACGGACACATCTCTAAACAATTTCCATCAGTCCTTATAAGTTTGAAAACCAGCAAATACACCCCTCAAATTTACCCATAAGTCCTTGTAAGTTTAAAATAAACGCACCCTTGCAACTTTTATTATTAATTATTTTTTCTCTCTCCCCATCACTTTCTTCTTTCTTCTATCACTTTCCCCTCTCTTTACTTTTTTCTCTCCTCTTCTCTTTCTTCTTCCTTCCTCTTTCTTTTTGTCCCCTATTTTCTCTCTTCTAATCTTCTCCATTCCTGTTTCTCTTTGTCTCCTCTTCTCTTTCTTCTTCCTTCCCTTCCCCCTTCCTTCCCTTCCCCGTTACTTCACTTGATGGCCAAGAAGGCCTTGGCTGCTACAATCAGGCCAAACGAGGTCCAAATCAGACTAGCCACTTCTTCATTCCCCTCCCCTTACTTCTTCTTCACTTTAACAGAGAATGAACCCTAAATTAGAGAGCCAAAACCATGGTCTAGTGATTAGGGATTTAGAATTGGATTTTACTATTGGGGAATAGTTAACTCGGTTTTGCCCCAAAACCGGTTGGACCGGTGGGTTGCTACAATAACATTGGTCCAATCGTGGGTCATACCGGGTGAATTCATATTGTCGGTTATTCACCCTGATTGGTACGACTTAGTGATCGATTCCCTATCGAATCGGTTAAACCGGCTAGGGCGGGCCGGTTTGGTTTTAAAACACTGATCTTTGATAGACTTACAAATGAAACAACCCTCCCATAAAGTAACACGCAACCTGGATGACAACATAGCTTTGGGACACATGACGTGTATCTATGCTGCATGGATTTACTGCACAACACAATTATTGTTTTTATTTTCAAAAATTTGTATAAAATATAATCTGCAATCAGTCATTAATTTGTTTCATTCGTGGGTCTAGCTTCCT